GTATAGATGTGTGTGTGTGTGTGTGTGTGTGTGTGTGTGTGTGTGTGTAATGGCTGTGAATGATGGGAAGGGGGAACCTGTGGTCTTTATTTGGTTAGATATTTGCAGGGGCCTGATCACTGTGGGTGTAAGCATTGAGGTGCAAGTGCTGGACTGCAAGGATGAGAGATGGGGATTGAGGGCTCAGACTTCTTGGAGGTGCTAGATTCATTTTGATACAGTTTGGAGGATACTTTTCTCTTTGCTTCTTGATCTGTCATTTTTCATGGTCCCATTAATGGGGCTCTGGCTTTGGAGAATGTTGGTACTCTATGTCTCAAGGCCAGATGAAGGTGGTTTCTGTACCTTTTTGAGCAGTACCAGCCTTACCAGCCTGAGAGGGCTGCGCTCGGGGGAGGGCTGAGGAATTTGTCCCTCTGGCCTTGTATGAGGCGGTCCTCCTCCTACCCACTGTATTATCATTGTTGCTTTTTATTTCTTACTGTTTGTTACTCCTTTGGCCTCAACTTTCAGAGCAGAGGGAGTGGAGGATCTTTGGGGGCATGTCGTCGTGGTAAGACATAGTAAGATGCAAACAATTAGAAAACTTTGAGGGCCCCTAGGACCTTCTGGGTGTGGTCAGGCTGTGAATGACTGAATAGAAAGAGAGACTTGCCTGGTGCCCTCACCCCCAACTCCTACTTCACATAGGTGGCTTCTAAGGGCCCCTCGAAGTTCCAGAGCAGCTTTTCTGTGAGTCAGCCAGATGACCCACCCTGTCCTTTCAGGTATAGTTGTGTGGCAGGTGTGGGAAAGAGAAATGGTTTGGGAATGGAGATGACAGGTATCAGGTGATGCTTTGCTTTCCCTATCTAGTACATTCTGAGAGTGTTAGGGAGAAAAGTAATTTCCTTTCCTGTGACATGTCTCAGGAGGGGCATAGCCAATATCTGGAAATGAAGTGTGAGTTCAGGGAAGGAGGACTGATATTGAGGTTCTTGGGGAATTGATTTACCAATCTTGGGCACCTCTGAGGGTTCCCTGCATCTCGTTTGCTCCAGTCATTCAGCCCTAAGTGGCTGACTGGGGTATTTGCCTTCCAGTTGGGGAGGAGGGGGTTGTTCTTACTAAGGTTGGTGTGGTCACTCTGATTAAACAACAGGAATGGAAAAGGTAAGAGATGAATTTCTCAAACTTTTATTATTTAGAGTTCTGTTTTAGGGATTTCCCCCACCCCACCACCCCTTTCTCTAGGAACATTGTATATACTCTCTGATTAAGAGAGCGGGTCTGTACTTCTAAGAGCTGCTGGCATTTATCCCTTTTTCCCTTCCTCTGTAGGATCCCTTTCCTATTCCTCGCCTCTGTACTTTGTTCTTTACTACTCTTTTTTTTTTTTTTTGCACTATGCTTAGTTCCCTCTGAGGTCTAGGAAAATATGCCCAAAGGTGTGGGTCCCACCTTTTTTAGGGATAACGTTAGTGTGTTTCATTTGGCTCTGGTACAGGCATGCATATCTTAGGAGGGAAAGGGGACCGTTATTTTCCCCTGCCCCCCCATGTGTGTGGAAACCCTGCTTAACGGAAGAGGAAGGAAGCTGCTCTGCTCTGCTCTGCTATGTCCTGCCCTGTTTAGAACTCCTCCAAGTGGCAGTGTGCTTCCTGAGACTACGACTCCCAGCATGCTTAGCCTCAGGCCTGACTACACATGCTCAGTAACTCTTAAGGTCCACTTCTGTTAACTACTAGGGGCATCTGAAGAGGAAGGGCAGTTGGCGTTGCTAAGGGCAACGACCTGAGGCCTTCAGGCTGGGTGAGACTCTGAGCACAGTTAGGGCAGGGGCCAGGGATGGGCCTGAGCTGAATTTGGGTTGGAAGTGGGTGGAAATTGGGGAGTTTCTTCAGTTGTGATTGGAATGTCCTGGTTTAAACCAGTGGAGATGGGGGAGATCTAAAGATAGGCTTTAGTTTCAGTAGTGTGTTCTGTCTCTTGCAAGACCCCAGACTCTGCTTCTGAGGGAGGGATCGTGGGTGGACGCAGACTTCCTGGGACCTGACTTCCCCTGGGATGGCACTGGCAGGCCTCTAGAATGGTAGCTTACTTGAGATCTGGGGAAAAAGCCCACAGAATAGGGCCCACCAGAAGCCAGGAACTCAGAGGTGAGGCAAAGGGTGGTACTAGGTGTAAAATGAATGTGCTTCTAGTTGGGTGCTGTTGCCCTGTGAACTCTTACAGAGGAGCCTGGAAGTGGGGAAGTGGAATGAATCCCCTGAGAATCTAGAGTGGGAGAAAAGGGTATGTGTTTATCTGGGGAGAAAGTAGGCAGTGGGATAAGGGTTAGGGAGAATTACTTCCCTTGTCATTAGTATAAGAGTTTGTAGGTATGGCTTTGCTCTGGCTGTAGGGTCTGGATGCCATTAGCTGGCTTCTCACTGGGATTCTGGGAAAAGTGCTTACTGGGGAGAGACTTAATAGACATATAGATATCTCTTGGCACCAACAGGTCTCCCCGAGAGGGCCCTGCCCAGTCGGAGAGAGGGATGGACAACCAGAAGTCGCCTGGTGAGGATAAAGATTCAGAACCGGCAGGTGAGTAGAACAAATCCTGGGTTTGTTGTCAGCTTTCTGCTCTTCGTGGGCAGCCTTCGATTTCTGGTCCTGACACAAGGACATGTGCTAAGTCTGTGTAATACACAAGTAATTGAAGGACTTTGTTCTTTGAGACAAAAGTCAAAATGCCATCGCTGTGATCCACTGAGGGTTTTGGATAATCTCACGGGTCTGTTGAGGGGACTTAGTATTAAATAGGGGATGATGGCTGACATGTGCTGCTCTGTCTGTTCATCAGCCGATGGACCTGCAGCCTCTGAGGACCCAGGAGCCGCTGAGCCAGACCTTCCCAACCCACATGTGGGAGAGGTCTGTGTCCCCAGTTCTGGGAGTTCCAGGCTTCAGGAGCCTCCCCAGGACTGCAGGTAACTTGTTTGGGGAAAATGAGGATACACAAGGGCTCATGAGGATTCGATTTGAAAGTCTGGGGCTTTCAAGGAAGACGATTTAGGAAAATGAGTGTTTGGGGAGCATGGGTGTGCCAAACGATGGGGTCAGCAGGGGCCTGGCATGGTGCTGATGCTTGTGTGTCCACAGTGGGGGTCCAGTGCGGCGTTGTGCTCTCTGTAACTGCGGGGAGCCCAGTCTGCATGGGCAGCGGGAGCTACGGCGCTTTGAGTTGCCATTTGACTGGCCCCGGTGTCCAGTGGTGTCCCCTGGGGGGAACCCAGGGCCCAATGAGGCAGTGCTGCCCAGTGAGGACCTATCACAGATTGGTTTCCCTGAGGGCCTTACACCTGCCCACCTAGGAGAACCTGGAGGTAAGTGAGGGGACAAAGGGCAGGAAATGGGGTAGAGACTGGGTAGTCCTGAGCCAGCAATCACCTTTTTGTTAACTCTTTCCTTTCTCTTTCCCACCTGTAAAGGGTCCTGTTGGGCTCACCATTGGTGTGCTGTGTGGTCAGCAGGCGTATGGGGACAGGAGGGCCCAGAACTATGTGGTGTGGACAAGGCCATCTTCTCAGGGATCTCACAGGTAGGGCTGGGGCCAGGAGATTGCATAGGTGAAGGACAGGACTGGGCTTGCAGGGGCTAGGCAGGGCTGGTGGGCTTCTGAGAGTCAGGGTAGAGAAGGACAGTGGGCATTACTGGGGCAGAGCTGTGCCTGAACTGTTTCTCTGGAGAAGCTGGCTGGCACTGAGGCATTGTCTCTACCCTGGTAGCGCTGCTCCCACTGCACCAGACTCGGTGCCTCCATCCCTTGCCGCTCACCTGGATGTCCACGGCTTTACCACTTCCCCTGCGCGACTGCCAGCGGTTCCTTCTTATCCATGAAAACACTGCAGCTGCTATGCCCGGAGCACAGTGAGGGGGCTGCACATCTGGGTGAGAAGTCCTGCCCTTTGGATGTAGGGCAAATGAGGGACCAAGTGTGCCTTGGATTTTTGTAGTCTACAGAGCACTCATCAAAGTCTGTAATTATATACTGTCAGTCTGCCCACTAAAATAGATGTGAACTTTTTGAGCACAGGAGCTTTGCCTGTCTCATTTACTGTGGTATCTACAGTGCCTAGATCAGTCACTGGCATATATTGGGCAGACAGTAACTGTCATTCATTCATTCTGTGTCCATGGAGTGCCTGTTATGTTTACAGCACTGTGCTGAGTCTTGCAATGAATCCATAGTTGACCTGTGCTGTCTGTCTCTTCCCACTGCAGAGGAGGCTCGCTGTACAGTGTGTGAGGGGCCGGGGGAATTGTGTGACCTGTTCTTCTGTACCAGTTGTGGGCATCACTATCACGGGGCCTGCCTGGACACTGCTCTGACTGCCCGAAAGCGTGCTGGCTGGCAGTGCCCTGATTGCAAAGTGTGCCAAGCCTGCAGGTAAGAATGGAAGGGTAGGAGGGAAGCCTAAGGCAAAGCATAGGTTAGGGTTGAACACTAGGGCAGGGAGAACACTGTAATGTTCTCTGTGCCCCTGCAGGAAACGTGGGAACGATTCTAAGATGTTGGTCTGTGAGACGTGTGACAAAGGATATCATACCTTCTGCCTAAAACCACCCATGGAGGAACTGCCTGCTCACTCTTGGAAGTGTAAGGTGAGTGTACCCTGATTCTGCCTTATTCTCCCTAATTCTGCCTCCTGCAACATCCCCAGAGTTCCTCTATCATGACAAGTCCTGTGTTCTCCAGTCTTTGCTGTCTGCCTGGCCAATGCCTGTTTTGCCTGCTCTTTTCCCCTAGGCATGCCGGGTATGCCGGGCCTGTGGGGTAAGCTCAGCAGAGCTGAATCCCAACTCTGAGTGGTTTGAGAACTACTCGCTCTGTCACCGCTGTCACAAAGCCCAGGGAGGTCAGCCTATCAGTTCTGTTGCTGAGCAGCATCCCCCTATCTGTGGCAGGTAAGTGGTGTGGACTGGATAAGATTGGGACAGGGGATTGGAAGGACTGAGATTGGCAGGGGCCATGTTGCAAGCAGTGGACTCTGGAAGGAGAGCCCTAAAGTGGGCAGTACAGTCAACAGTGTTCATGCCTTGCCCCGGTGTGCTCTCTAGGAGCTGTTAGCTGGTGAGAGCCACAGTGCCTGCTCCCCTGTACCCTCTGCAGATTTTCACCCCCAGAGCCTGGCGATACACCCATTGATGAGCCCGATGCTCTGTACGTTGCATGCCAAGGGCAGCCAAAGGGTGGGCACGTGACCTCTATGCAACCCAAGGAACCGGGGCCCCTGCAATGTGAAGCCAAACCACTAGGTGAGTACCATTTGAGGGTCCCTGAAATTAATCCCCTTTCATTCTGTGGCAAGAGACAGTTTCTGCTTTGCCCCAAACCCTACACTTTCTGTGGAGTAAATTGGAGCCAGGTAGGAGCATAGTGTGTTGTGTCTACAGGGAGAGCAGGGGTCCAACTTGAGCCCCAGTTGGAGGTCCCCCTAAATGAGGAGATGCCACTGCTGCCCCCACCTGAGGAGTCACCCCTGTCCCCACCGCCTGAGGAATCACCCACATCTCCACCGCCTGAGGCATCACGCCTGTCCCCACCACCCGAGGAATCACCTGCATCCCCACCACCAGAGGCATTGCATCTGTCTCCACCATCAGAGGAATCGCCCCTCTCTCCGCCACCTGAGGAGTCTCCTCTGTCTCCCCCACCCGAGTCATCACCTTTTTCTCCACCGGAGGAGTCACCCTTCTCTCCACCAGAAGACTCACCCCCATCTCCTGCACTTGAGACGCCCCTGTCCCCACCGCCTGAAGCATCACCCTTGTCCCCACCATTTGAGGAATCTCCCTTGTCCCCCCCACCTGAGGAATTGCCCACTTCCCCGCCGCCGGAAGCATCTCGCCTGTCTCCACCACCTGAGGAGTCACCCATGTCCCCTCCACCTGAAGAGTCACCCATGTCTCCGCCACCTGAAGCGTCTCGTCCGTTCCCACCGTTTGAAGAGTCTCCTCTGTCCCCTCCACCTGAGGAATCTCCCCTCTCCCCACCACCCGAGGCATCACGCCTGTCCCCACCACCTGAGGACTCACCCATGTCCCCACCACCTGAAGACTCACCTATGTCCCCCCCACCTGAGGTATCACGCCTGTCCCTCCTGGCAGAGGTGTCACGCTTATCCCCCCTGCCTGAAGTGTCACGCCTGTTTCCACCGCCTGAGGAATCTCCTCTATCCCCACCACCTGAAGAGTCTCCCAGGTCCCCTCCACCTGAGGCTTCACGCTTATCCCCACCACCTGAGGACTCACCCACATCCCCACCACCTGAAGACTTACCTGCTTCCCCGCCGCCGGAGGACTCGCTCATGTCCCTGCCACTGGAGGAGTCACCCCTGTCACCACTGCCTGAAGAGCCGCATCTCTGCCCCCAGCCTGAGGAGCCTCATCCAATCCCCCGGCCTGAGGAGCCACACTTGTCCCCCCAGCCTGAAGAGCTGCATCTGTCCCCACAGCCTGAGGAGCTGCGCCTATCCCCTATGCCTGAGGAGCCACACCTGTCCCCTCAGCCTGAGGAACTGCGCCTATCTCCCCACACTGAGGAGCTGCACCTATCCCCTGTGCCTGAGGAGCCACACCTGTCCCCCCAGCCTGAGGAGCTGCATCTGTCCCCTCAGCCTGAGGAGCCACACCTGTCCCCCAGGCCTGAGGAGCTGCATCTGTCCCCTCAACCTGAGGAACCACACCTGTCCCCTCGGCCTGAGGAACCACGCCTATTGCCTCAACCTGAGGAACCACACCTGTCCCCTCGGCCTGAGGAACCGTGTCTATCCCCTCACCCTAAAGAGCCCATGGAGGAGCCAGGCCAATGCCCCACACCTGAGGAGTTACCCTTGTTCCCCGCACCTGGGGAGCCACGCTTATCCCCCTTGCTTGGAGAGCCGGCCCTGTCCGAGCCTGGGGAACCACCTCTGTCACCTCTGCCTGAGGAGCTGCCCTTGTCCCCATCTGGAGAGCCATCCTTGTCACCTCAGCTGATGCCACCAGGTAAGGGAATATTAGTACCTCCTTATTCTGGAGCAGTCTTAACTCTTTATGGCACATCTAATCTAAGAGCTTCTCTTGTTCTCTTTCCCTCCAGATCCTCTTCCTCCTCCACTCTCGCCCATTATCACAGCTGTGGCCCCACCAGCTCTGTCTCCTTTGGGGGAGTTAGAGTACCCCTTTGGTGCCAAAGGGGACAGTGACCCTGAGTCACCATTGGCTGCCCCCATTCTAGAGACACCCATCAGCCCTCCACCAGAAGCTAACTGCACTGACCCTGAGCCTGTTCCCCCTATGATCCTTCCCCCATCTCCAGGCTCCCCAATGGAACTGGCTACTCCCATCCTGATGGAGCCCCTTCCCCCTCGGTGTTCTCCACTCCTTCAGCATTCCCTGGCTCCTCAAAACTCCCCTCCTGCTCTGCCACTGTCCATGCCCTCCCCATTGAGTCCCATAGGGAAAGCGGTAGACGTCTCAGATGAGGCTGAGCCACATGAGATGGAGACTGAGAAAGTCCCAGAGCCTGAGTGTCCAGCCTTAGAACCCAGTGCCACCAGTCCTCTCCTCTCCCCTATAGGGGACCTGTCCTGCCCTGCCCCCAGCCCTGCCCCAGCCCTGGATGACTTTTCTGGGCTGGGGGAAGACACACCCCCTCTGGATGGAATTGATGCTCCTGGTTCACAGCCAGAGGCTGGACAGACTCCTGGCAGTTTGGCTAGTGAACTTAAAGGTTCCCTTGTGCTCCTGGACCCTGAGGAGCTAGCCCCTGTGACCCCTATGGAGGTCTATGGTCCCGAATGCAAGCAGGCAGCAGGACAGAGCTCACCCTGTGAAGAACAGGAGGAGCCACGTGCACCAGTGGCCCCCACACCACCCACTCTCATCAAATCTGACATTGTTAATGAGATCTCTAATCTGAGCCAGGGCGATGCCAGTGCCAGTTTTCCTGGCTCAGAGCCCCTGCTGGGCTCTCCTGACCCTGAGGGGGGTGGCTCCCTGTCCATGGAGCTAGGGGTCTCTACAGATGTTAGTCCAGCCCGAGATGAGGGCTCCCTACGGCTCTGTACCGACTCGCTGCCAGAGACTGATGACTCACTATTGTGTGATGCTGGGACAGCTATCGGCGGAGGCAAAGCCGAGGGGGAGAAGGGGAGGCGGCGCAGCTCCCCAGCCCGTTCCCGCATCAAACAGGTGAGGGGCTCTCCAGCCACTGGGTGTGGTCAAAGTTATGCCACTGTCCTGTGTCACTTACACCTCCTCACCTGGCTTATTGAATCCTAGACTCTGGGAGATCCTCTGTCTAGTCCAACTATTAAGGAGAATACTAATACATAGAGGGGACAAATGCCCAGGTACCAGGTTCATGGTCACTCAGTAATAAAATTGGGACCAGAAACTTGATTCTTGGTCCACTGTTTTTTCTCTGTGTCTCATGTTGGCCACTCCTTGGGAGGGGAGAATGGATTTTGGCCAGAGCTACCTAATTGTTGATAATCTGGAAGCTTGGCTTTTTCCCCCTACCTTGAGTGGACTCCTGAGCTTTATTACCTGTCATATTCTGTCCATTCATCTCTTTTCTTCCCTTCAAGCCTGTGAACCCAACACACTAGCTTTTGACTTGCTCCTGCAATTGTCCCCTTTCCTTCACTCAGGGTCGCAGCAGTAGTTTCCCAGGAAGGCGCCGGCCTCGTGGAGGAGCACATGCAGGACGTGGAAGAGGACGGGCCCGGCTAAAATCAACTGCTTCTTCCATTGAGACTCTGGTAGTAAGGAGAGGCCTCCCGTGCCCCAAGCATGTTTCAGATGGTCCCTTCAAAATTAAACACCCTTTAAATCCTGCCAGTCCCTTGCAGGCTTGCCTGCTGGCCTTGGGCCCATCGGGCTATGTCTATATTTCTGTCCATTTGGCCCCCAGGCTTTTCTGAAATGTCTGCCATCAGGCTGTGGCCCAGTTTGGGAGCTGGGGTGTCCTTTTGCCTTTTAGTCCTGGCTTCTGGCCTTCATCTTAGCCAGGGGTTCACACTTCTTTCCCCCAGCACCAAAGAGGGAACTAGCTTAGTTGGGGCAGATTTATCTACCTCACATTCCACAACTCTCTGCCTTTAAGGTTGCTGATATCGATAGCTCTCCCAGCAAGGAAGAAGAAGAAGAAGACGATGACACCATGCAAAATACCGTGGTTCTCTTCTCCAACACAGACAAATTTGTTCTAATGCAGGTACTATACTCGACTGGTGTAGTCCCGTCCTCAGCAGTGAGATGTGGTGTACTGAACATTGTGTGTGTTTTGGTGAGAGGGTAGATGGGGGAAACCAGGGACCTGTTTCTGGGGATACCCACCTAATGAGAAAACAGATAGTGACTTACAATCATGTTCATTGGTTTGTCCATCCCTCAAATCTTTCTTCAATGTGTCCTTTAGAGCTTGGCACTAAGCTAGGAGCTAGACAAATAGCAATGAAAAAGGCAGAAATGGCCTTTACCTATTGAAGCTTATATTAATAGTTTAGAGAGCTTATATATGTTCTCATCTGAATAATCTTGAAACAAATATAATTTTGTCACATATGTGATTCTCACCCAACCAGTCTTTATCCGATCTTGTCCCTTTAACTTTTTACCTTTACCCATGTCAGGCTTATAAATTCAAGTTACCCAATTAGGTGGGCAAGCCAGGAGTAGTTCCTATGGATTGACTAGGAGGAGCAGGGTCCTGTGGTGGCTTACAGTAATACCCTAGTGCTGGGGATGGGCCTCTCATTTCCTGACTCCCTGGTCCCAGATTAGTATTACAGTCAATAGGCTGGGACTTACTGGGATGAGACCCTGTTGGATGTTCAAGTTTGTGTGCTTTTTCAGGATATGTGTGTGGTATGTGGCAGCTTTGGACGTGGGGCGGAGGGCCACCTTCTTGCCTGTTCGCAGTGCTCTCAGTGCTACCACCCTTACTGTGTCAACAGCAAGGTGAGTTCAGGGACCAAGGGTAAGTTTCCTGTCCTGGCCGCACTACTTATTTTATTTATTTATTTTTTTTTTTTTGAGACAGAGTCTCACTGTGTTGGCCGGGCTAGAGTGCCGTGGCGTCAGCCTAGCTCACAGCAACCTCAAACTCCTGGGCTCAAGCGATCCTTCTGCCTCAGCCTCCCGAGTAGCTGGGACTACAGGCATTCGCCACCATGCCCGGCTAATTTTTTCTATGTATTTTTAGTTGTCCAATTAATTTCTTTCTATTTTTAGTAGAGACGGGGTCTCGCTCTTGCTCAGGCTGGTTTCGAACTCCTGAGCTCAAACAATCCGCCCGCCTCGGCCTCCCAGAGAGCTAGGATTACAGGCGTGAGCCACCGCGCCTGGCCCGCACTACTTATTAATAATACAGCTGTTGGTCATGGATGTCATTCATCAGTCACCAATAGTTATCAAACTTGTCTTGGGGAAAAGTACTTTGGAACTCATGGTGGACTCTTAGGTAGACCAAGACTTGCTGGTGTAATTCAACTTATCGTACAAACTATGACAACTTTACTAGTAGAAAACATGACATAATCTGGAGATAAAACATAAAATCATAAGTATATGTCCACAAAGAGAAAACAGTGTTTTTGACCTAAGCATGATCAATTGTTTTGGGGTTTTCATTAATATTAATTTATGACTTGTCCACTGCTCACATTCACTAACTAGTAGCAATAGCAAGTTCTAAATGTTCAAGAAAATTTGGGAGAAATACAACCTAATTTTCTTTAGTCTTTTTGGGGACTTGGCTAGGGAAAGATTGCTATTTCATTTGTAATGAGGCAGTGGCTGGTGTGGCTGTTCTCTGATCAGCAGAGATCCTTGAGAGTTTAGAGCTACTGTTTTGGGGGTGAGGGTGCTCTGCATAAACTTCCCTGTGGCTCAAATGAAGGTCTGGCCTGTGCACTGGGTTTCCTCCAGCCCTGCCCATGTAAGTCCCTCCTCCCGTCCACGTCACATCCTGAAGAATTGCCTTCTTCTGCTCCAGATCACCAAGGTGATGCTGCTGAAAGGTTGGCGCTGTGTGGAGTGTATCGTGTGTGAGGTGTGCGGTCAGGCTTCTGACCCCTCACGCCTGCTGCTCTGTGATGACTGTGACATTAGCTACCACACATACTGCCTGGACCCACCACTGCTCACAGTGCCCAAGGGTGGCTGGAAGTGCAAGTGGTAAGGAGACTTGGGATCTTTGAAGGGACCTGGGGCCTGAGATGTTAGAGTGGATGTAACATTGAGTATGTGAGAGAGGCTGGTCACTTGGTTCTCAGTGAGGGCACCTCTGGGTGCTGAGGATCTGTTTTCTTTCCCCTACCAGGTGTGTGTCTTGTATGCAGTGTGGGGCCGCCTCCCCCGGCTTCCACTGTGAATGGCAGAATAGTTACACACACTGTGGACCCTGCGCCAGCTTGGTGACCTGCCCTATCTGTCATGCTCCTTACGTGGAAGAGGACCTACTAATTCAGTGCCGCCACTGTGAACGGTGGGAGCATCCCTGTCCACCTGCGTTGGCCCCTGTTCCTTGTTGGCTGCCACACATTGCCTGGGCTCATCTCCCATCTTGTTCTCCAGGTGGATGCATGCTGGTTGTGAGAGCCTCTTCACAGAGGATGATGTGGAGCAGGCAGCCGATGAGGGCTTTGACTGTGTCTCCTGCCAGCCCTACGTGGTAAAACCTGTGGGTGAGTACCAGCTGTGGGGATGGGGAGGGGGTGTCAGGACAGGGGTGCCTTGCTTTGGGACAGGACCTTAAACTGCCTTTGTCTTTCTCTCCACAGTGCCTATTGCGCCTCCAGAGTTGGTGCCTATGAAGGTGAAAGAGCCAGGTGAGTGACGGAAATGTTGAATGCCAAAGCCAGACTAGACCTTAGACACCATCTAGTCTAGTGTCAATCCCCACCCCCCCTTCATCTCTTCATTTTAAGAGGAGGAAACTAAGACCCAGGGAGGTTGAGTGGCCTACCCGAGGTCACCTAGTAAGTTATGGCAAAGTTATAACTAGAACTCAGGTCTCACGGGTTTCCCAGGCAGTGTTCCTTTCACTAGGCAACATGGCTTTTTTACTGCCAGAAGTTCATCTCCAGAGAACACAACTCTTTTTCCTCAGTGAAGGGGGCCAGGGCCATCTCCTCCTTCATCATGATATGGGCACCACTCCTGGCATGTAGGGCACTGTGTGCTGGCCCCTCCTAGCCCCAGATAGCAAGAGAATTTATTTGGTGGGCCTAGAGTTAATCACAAGCAAAGCCAGGCTTTTGCAGTTACAGTCCCTCTCTGAATCCCCCTGGGACACTTGACAGAGAACTCAGGCCTCAGCCAGTACCGCTTGGTGGCCTGTTCTCCCCAGGCCTCAGACCCCCGGCTGGACTTTGTGTAACTGCCTTTGTCTTAGCTGGGGACATAGGTCGAAACTTGGGAGTTCTGGTTTCCCTGGAGCCTCCATCCAGGCGTCACATCCTCTTCCCTCTTGTGCAGAGCCCCAGTACTTTCGCTTTGAGGGTGTGTGGCTGACGGAAACTGGCATGGCTGTGCTGCGTAACTTGACCATGTCACCACTGCACAAGCGGCGCCAGCGGCGAGGACGGCTTGGCCTCCCAGGGGAGGCGGGGCTGGAGGGTTCTGAGCCCTCAGATGCCCTTGGCCCCGATGACAAGAAGGATGGGGACCTGGACACTGATGAGCTGCTCAAGGCTGAAGGTTGGACTGGGCAATCTCAGGGAGCAAGCCTGTGGGAGTTGCGATGTTGGGTGGGGGCTGCATTGCCACTCTCAGTCACCCTCATGGACCGTTGGTGTTGTTCAGGTGGCTCTCTGGCAAGGTACTCAGCTCTCTCAGTGGCAGGATGACAAGGTTAGAAGAGCACATACCTCTGATCCGCTTCCATCTTCTCTGTCACCATACACAGGTGGTGTGGAGCACATGGAGTGTGAAATTAAACTAGAGGGCCCTGTCAGCCCCGATATGGAGCCTGGCAAAGAGGAGACCGAGGAAAGCAAAAAACGCAAGCGCAAACCCTATCGGCCTGGTGAGGCCCTGGGATGGGGCGATGGGGTAGTGAGGGGCAGCTCACCAGGTCCTCCTGTGGCTTCTCATCCTCAGCTCTGCCTCCTCATAGGCATTGGTGGTTTCATGGTGCGACAGCGGAAATCCCACATGCGCGTGAAAAAGGGGCCTGCTGCACAGGCGGAGGTGTTGAGTGGGGATGGGCAGCCCGACGAGGGTGAGACGGGTGAGGGCACCAGTGGGGCCTGGGAGAAGGTGGGGATCACAGCACCCATGGGCAATGCTGGGGGACTCCAGGGGTGGGCTCACTGAAAGGGCCAAGCGGGTGGTGGACCCAACTGGTGTTGGGGAGAATAGGCAGAAAATGTCACCTGGCCTAGTTGGGAGCAGCATGCTCCCACCCCCAGAGAGTCTGACACCTCCCTTTTGTCCATAGTGATGCCTGCTGATCTGCCTGCAGAGGGCTCTGTGGAACAGAGCTTAGCTGACGGGGATGAGAAGAAGAAGCAACAGCGGCGAGGGCGCAAGAAGAGCAAACTAGAGGACATGTTCCCTGCTTACCTGCAGGTGGGTCTCAGGCTCCAAGGGGTGAGGGAGGTGTCTGTGCCCTGCAGGGCATGAAGAAGACTGTTTTTCCCTGATGCCTCCACAGGAAGCCTTCTTTGGGAAGGAGCTGCTGGACCTGAGCCGTAAGGCCCTTATTGCAGTTGGGGTGGGCCGGCCAAGCTTTGGACTAGGAACCCTAAAACCCAAGGGGGATGGAGGTTCAGAAAGGAAGGAGCTTCCCACCTTGCAGAAAGGTTAGTTATGTGGAAGTGAGGTGGTCTGAGGGAATCCAGCTTCCTTCTTGCTGAGGAGCTGTTAAGGGTATTTAGTGGAAATAGACTGATCTCCAAGAGTTAAGGGTTGGGCCAAGGGCCCCAGCCTGTGGAGCTGGGGACTTGTTCTGGGCATCAGGTGTCTCTGATTGGAGTGGGATTGTTGCTCATAGGAGATGATGGTCCAGATGTTGCAGATGAAGAATCCCGTGGCCCTGAGAGCAAGGCTGATACACCAGGTGAGGGCCGCTAAGGGGCTGTGTCCTCTCTTGGCTTTGCCTCTATCCATCTGCTCTGCCCCTGAGCACTGTACTGTGAGGGTTGAAAGCTAGAAACTTGTTCCGTGCTCCTCTGTGGTTCAGAGTGGCCAGTGTGATACCTCCACTGGCCTTGACTAATGGGTTTCTCTTGGCAATTGCAGGACCTGAGGATGGGGGTGTAAAGGCATCCCCAGTGCCCAGTGACCCTGAGAAGCCTGGTACTCCGGGTGAAGGGATGCTTAGCTCTGACTTAGACAGGATTCCCACAGAAGGTGAGGCCGTGACCCACAACTCTTCCATGTGTAAGGGCCCTCTGTGGGAGAAGGAGAAGATCCTACCTGTGGGACTGTGATCTGTACAGCTTTTGTGGGGGTAGTCCTGGGCACCCTCCCTAGCCATGATCATTTTTGTAGATTCGTGGTGTCACCTGAACTTCCCAGTCTTCCTCAAGAGTGTCCTTCATCATTCTCCCACAGAACTGCCCAAAATGGAATCCAAGGACCTGCAGCAGCTCTTCAAGGATGTTCTGGGTTCTGAACGAGAGCAGCACCTGGGTTGTGGAACCCCTGGCCTAGAAGGCAGCCGTACGCCACTGCAGAGGCCCTTTCTTCAAGGTGATATGGGTGGGAGTGGTTCGAAGACTGGCATAGCCAAGCTTGCTCCCAGGATGGGCCAGTCACTCTTTTCTCTGATGTGGTCCCTCTTGTAGGTGGACTCCCTTTGGGCAGTCTCCCCTCCAGCAGCCCAATGGACTCCTACCCGGGCCTCTGCCAGTCCCCATTCCTGGATTCTAGGTTGGTATCTGTGCTTAACCTTCGTGGGCAGTCCTTTTGTCCTTTCCCTCCATCTGGGTCCATGCCTTGCCTCCCCTGGACTCCTGGGCTGCTGTAGCAGCAGTTCCCCTGCTCCTCCCCACTCCCTGTTAGGGAAGGGCAGTGGCCTAGGGCTCTGGGCAGTTTGTCTGGGATGGGATTTGGTATCCCTGCCCCCTGTGACTCTCTGCCCCTGCGCCCCAGGGAGCGCGGGGGCTTCTTTAGCCCAGAACCCGGTGAACCAGACAGCCCCTGGACAGGCTCAGGGGGCACCACGCCCTCCACCCCCACCACCCCCACCACAGAGGGTGAGGGCGACGGGCTCTCCTATAACCAGCGGAGTCTTCAACGCTGGGAGAAGGATGAGGAGTTGGGCCAGCTCTCCACCATCTCACCTGTACTCTACGCCAACATTAACTTTCCTAATCTCAAGCAAGATTATCCAGGTACCTGTGGGACAAGGACAAGGGAGATGACAGCCTGACATCGCTGGTGGAGGGGTCACCTGCCAAGTCTCCCCTAACTCAACCCCTCTACCCCCTAGACTGGTCTAGCCGTTGCAAACAAATCATGAAGCTGTGGAGAAAGGTTCCAGCTGCTGACAAAGCCCCCTACCTGGTGAGACAGAAAGGAGCACAGGGTCAGCATGGGAACTGAAAGGGAGGGAGGTGTCTTTGGGTCATTCACCTCAGTTCTCTCCACCCCACCTCCCCCCTAAAGCAGCTGGGCCAGAAGGGATCAGCCTCTGGGTAGGGAGTGTAAATGGCTTTGTGAGGGATGGGGGCTGGGCTTGAGACTAAGTGCTAGGCCCTAAGGCAGTGTCCTGTATCCCTTAGCAAAAGGCCAAAGATAACCGGGCGGCTCACCGCATCAACAAGGTACAGAAGGTGAGTTGGGCTGGGCTGGGCTGAGCCATCCAAGTCCTCTAGCAGGTGGCCTCTCTCAGAGTGGGAGCACATGGGGCCTGCCTACAGCAGTCTGACTGCTCTGTGCCTCGTCTCCCCCTGTAGCAGGCTGAGAGCCAGATCAACAAGCAGACCAAGGTGGGCGACATAGCCCGTAAGCCTGACCGACCAGCCCTACATCTCCGCATTCCCCCCCAGCCAGGGGCACTGGGCAGTCCGCCCCCTGCTGCTGCCCCCACCATTTTCATTGGCAGCCCCGCTACCCCCGCCGGCTTGTCTACCTCTGCGGATGGGTTCCTGAAGCCGCCGGCGGGCACGGTGTCTGGCCCGGACTCGCCTGGTGAGCTCTTCCTCAAGCTCCCACCCCAGGTGCCCGCCCAAGTGCCTTCGCAGGACCCCTTTGGACTGGCCCCCGCCTACGCCCTGGAGCCCCGCTTCCCCACGGCACCACCCACTTATCCCCCCTATCCTAGTCCAACTGGGGGCCCCGCGCAGCCCCCAGTGCTAGGTGCCTCATCTCGTTCTGGGACTGGCCAGCCAGGAGAATTCCATACTACCCCACCTGGCACACCCCGACACCAACCCTCCCCACCTGACCCCTTCCTCAAACCCCGCTGTCCTTCCCTGGACAACCTGGCTGTGCCTGAGAGCCCAGGGGTAGGGGGAGGCAAGGCTTCTGAGCCCCTGCTCTCTCCCCCACCTTTTGGCGAGTCCCGGAAGGCCCTAGAGGTGAAGAAGGAAGAGCTCGGGGCATCCTCTCCTAGCTATGGGCCCCCAAACCTGGGCTTTGTTGACTCACCCTCCTCAGGCCCCCACCTGGGTGGCCTGGAGTTAAAGGCACCTGATGTCTTCAAAGCTCCCCTGACCCCTCGGGCATCTCAGGTAGAGCCCCAGAGCCCAGGCTTGGGCCTTCGGCCTCAGGAGCCCTCCCCTGCCCAGGCTTTGGCCCCTTCTCCCCCTAGCCATCCGGAAATCTTTCGCCCTGGCCCGTACCCTGACCCCTATGCCCAGCCCCCATTGACCCCTCGGCCCCAGCCGCCACCCCCGGAGAGCTGCTGTGCCCTGCCCCCTCGCTCACTGCCCTCTGACCCTTTCTCCCGAGTGCCCGCCAGTCCTCAGTCCCAGTCCAGCTCGCAGTCCCCATTGACACCCCGTCCCCTGTCTGCTGAGGCTTTCTGTCCATCCCCTGTTACCCCTCGCTTTCAGTCCCCTGACCCTTACTCTCGTCCACCCTCACGCCCTCAGTCCCGTGACCCGTTTGCCCCATTGCATAAGCCACCCCGACCCCAGCCTCCTGAAGTTGCCTTTAAGGCTGGGCCTCTAGCCCACACTCCACTGGGGGCTGGGGGCTTCCCAGCAGCCCTGCCTTCAGGGCCAGCAGGTGAGCTCCATGCCAAGGTCCCAAGTGGGCAGCCCCCTGGTTTTGCCCGGTCCCCTGGGACAGGTGCATTTGTGGGCACCTCTTCTCCCATGCGTTTCACTTTCCCTCAGGCAGTAGGGGAGCCTTCCCTAAAGCCCCCTGTCCCTCAGCCTGGTCTCCCTCCACCCCATGGGATCAACAGCCATTTTGGGCCCGGCCCCACCTTGGGCAAGCCCCAAAGCACAAACTACACAGTAACCACGGGGAACTTCCACCCATCGGGCAGCCCCTTAGGGCCCAGCAGTGGGTCCACAGGGGAGAGCTATGGGCTGTCCCCACTACGCCCCCCATCAGTTCTGCCACCACCTGCACCCGATGGATCCCTACCCTACCTGTCCCATGGAGCCCCACAGCGATCAGGCATCACCTCTCCTGTTGAAAAGCGAGAAGACCCGGGGGCTGGAATGGGTAGCTCTTTGGCGACACCTGAACTCTCAGGTACCCAGGACCCAGGCATGTCCAACCTCAGCCAGACAGAGCTGGAAAAGCAACGGCAGGTGAGTCGACAACCAGGAGCTGAGCTCCCCCATATCTGCTGTCTCTGTGCCAGACCCATGACTGGAGTAGAATGGGCTATTCCTCCTGTCTGTTTTCTGCACAGCGCCAGCGGCTACGGGAGCTGCTGATTCGTCAGCAGATCCAGCGCAACACCCTGCGGCAGGAGAAGGAAACAGCTGCAGCAGCTGCAGGAGCAGTGGGGCCTCCAGGCACCTGGGGTGCTGAGCCCAGCAGCCCTGCCTTTGAGCAGCTGAGTCGAGCCCAGACCCCTTTCGTTGGGACCCAGGTAGGTAGAGTGGCAAGGGGTGGTGCAGGCAGGATACTGAAGTTGGCCCTACCTTCATCTACCACTATCTTGTCTAGGACAAGAGTAGCCTTGTGGGGCTGCCCCCAAGCAAGATGAGTGGCCCCCTCCTAGGGCCAGGGGCCTTCTCGAGCGATGACCGACTCTCCCGGCCACCTCCGCCGGCCACACCTTCCTCCATGGATATGAATAGCCGGTGAGGCTCCAGAAGGTTCCCTGGGGGTAAACCAAGGGGACAGATTTGACTACTGTTGTATTCTGCATCTGATTTTCCTTTCTCACTAATCCTGCTCCAATATCGCTTACTCTTCCTCATTCCTTCCCCCTCACTGCATTAATTCTGTCCTTCCTCACTGCCCTAAGCCCATGTTCTGGCTCTTTTTCATCCTGATTTCATATTACTGACTATTGTGCATTCTTGCAGGCAACTGGTAGGAGGCTCCCAAGCTTTCTATCAGCGAGCACCCTATCCTGGGTCCCTGCCCTTACAGCAGCAACAGCAACAACTGTGGCAGCAGCAACAGGCAACAGCAGCAACCTCCATGCGACTCGCCATGTCTGCTCGCTTTCCATCAACTTCTGGACCTGAACTTGGCCGCCAAGCTCTAAGTTCCCCCTTGGCAGGAATTCCCACCCGCCTGCCAGGCCCTGGTGAGCCAGTGCCTGGCCCAGCTGGTCCTGCCCAGTTCATTGAGTTGCGGCACAATGTACAGAAAGGACTAGGACCTGGGGGGGCTCCATTTCCAGGTCAGGGCCCGCCTCCAAGACCCCGTTTTTATCCTGTAAGTGAAGACCCCCACAGACTGGCTCCTGAAGGACTTCGGGGCCTGGCGGTGTCAGGCCTTCCACCACAGAAACCCTCAGCCCCACTGGCCCCTGAATTGAACAACAGCCTCCATCCGACGCCCCACACCAAGGGTCCCACCCTGCCAACTGGCTTGGAGCTGGTCAGCCGGCCCCCCTCGAGCACTGAGCTTGGCCGCCCCCCTCCTCTGGCCTTGGAAGCTGGCAAGTTACCCTGTGAGGATCCTGAGCTGGATGATGACTTTGATGCCCACAAGGCCCTAGAGGATGATGAAGAGCTTGCTCACCTGGGTCTGGGTGTGGATGTGGCCAAGGGTGATGATGAGCTGGGCACTCTGGAAAACCTGGAGACCAATGACCCCCACCTGGATGACCTGCTCAATGGGGATGAGTTTGACCTCCTGGCATATACTGACCCTGAGCTGGACACTGGGGACAAGAAGGACATCTTCAATGAGCACCTGAGGCTGGTGGAATCTGCTAATGAGAAGGCCGAGCGGGAGGCCCTGTTGAGGGGGGTGGAGCCAGGACCCTTAGGTCCTGAGGAGCGCCCTCCCGCTGCCACTGATGCTTCTGAGCCCCGCCTGGCATCTGTGCTCCCTGAGGTGAAGCCCAAGGTAGAGGAGGGTGGGCGCCACCCTTCCCCTTGCCAGTTCACTATTACCGCCCCCAAGGTCGAGCCAGCACCTGCTACTGCTTCCCTTGGCGTGGGGTTGAAACCAGGACAAAGCGTGATGGGCAGTCGGGACACCCGGATGGGCACAGGGCCATTTTCCAGCAGTGGGCACACAGCTGAGAAGGGCCCCTTTGGGGCCACAGGAGGACCACCAGCTCACCTGCTTACCCCCAGCCCACTTAGTGGCCCAGGAGGATCCTCTTTGCTGGAAAAGTTTGAGCTAGAGAGTGGGGCCCTGACTTTGCCTGGTGGACATACAGCATCTGGGGATGAGCTGGACAAGATGGAGAGCTCACTGGTGGCCAGTGAGTTGCCCCTGCTCATTGAGGACTTGTTGGAACATGAGAAAAAGGAGCTGCAGAAGAAGCAGCAGCTTTCAGCACAGCTGCAGCCAGCCCAGCAGCAGCAGCAGCAGCATTCCCTATTGTCCACACCAGGTGCTGCCCAGGCCATGCCTTTGCCACATGAGGGCTCTTCTCCCAGTTTGGCTGGACCCCAACAGCAGCTTGCCCTGAGTCTTGGAGGTGCCCGACAGCCAGGCTTGGCCCAACCACTGATGCCTACCCAGCCACCAGCTCATGCCCTCCAGCAGCGCCTGGCCCCATCCATGGCCATGGTGTCCAGTCAAGGGCATATGCTAAGTGGACAGCATGGGGGGCAGGCAGGCTTGGTACCCCAGCAGAGCCCACAGCCAGTGCTATCACAGAAGCCCATGGGCACTATGCCACCTTCCATGTGTGTGAAGCCCCAGCAACTGGCAATGCAGCAGCAGTTGGCTAACAGCTTCTTCCCGGATACAGGTAACCTCAGCTGGCCATGGCCAAGTTGCTCAGAGGTGATCGTTGTTATCACCAAATGGGCACTGAGGCTAGAGACCTAAAATAATCTCCACTTAAAGAAGATGGGACACAAAGAACCTTGGCTAAGTAACTACTGATATAGGTAGAAACACTATAGCTTTTAAGAAGGGAGGGAACAGTTCCTGACATATAGCAGGCATTCAAATGTTTGAAGGAATGAAGGGAATGAATGCATGGATGAAGTCTGATTAGCAAAGGCTTTGTGGCTATGGTAAGGCTGAAAGTTTAGGACTTGGAGAGAAGTGGCACAACAAAAGGTAAAAAGATGGAATAAGGCTGTAGTGGCAGGAAAACCTATGGGATTTCAAGAACAGTGAGTGAAGTGGTTAGGCTGGAGTAGACTTTGTGTACAGGGAAGTGAGTGAGCACTACCATTATTTTGGAGAGTTAAGAAGGGGGGCCATGATTGAGAAAGACCTCAAACTATAATAGCACTTATTGAGTAATTATTATTTGTCAAGCCGTGTGCTGAGCACTTTACAACAGACTCATGAAGTAGATACTGTTACTACCTTCGATTACAGAAGAGGAAACTGAGATGTGGAGGTTAAGTAACTTGTTGAAGATTACACAGAAATTAGCAGAAGTAGATCTGAACCCTGGTATTCCTCTTAATTGTTTCATTGTCCCAGAATTCCAAGAGAGGGAGTTTGGTTAGTACTTTAGAAAGTGGGGAGTCATTTAAGTTTTTTTTTTTTTTTTTTTTTGAGACAAAGTCTCACTCTTTTGCCCGGGCTAGAGTGAGTGCCGTGGCGTCAGCGTAGCTCACAGCAACCTCAAACTCCTGGGCTCAAGTGATCCTCCTGCCTCAGCCTCCCGGGTAGCTGGGACTACAGGCATGCGCCACCATGCTCGGCTAATTTTTCTATATATTTTTAGTTGTCCAATTAATTTCTTTCTATTTTTAGTAGAGACGGGGTCTCGCTCTTGCTCAGGCTGGTTTCGAACTCCTGAGCTCAAACAATCCGCCCGCCTCGGCCTCCCAGAGAGCTAGGATTATAGGCGTGAGCCACCGGGCCTGGCCCAGTTAAGTTTTTTGAGCTGTGAAGAAATATACAAATTATAGGATCTTAGGAAGATTTAAATTTTTGGTGGTTCCTTTTTTATGTAGCATCCTGGATAGACAAGGGCATGGGCTACACATGGTACATGTTGTACCCAAAACAGCTCTGGCATCTAGAGCTTTGCCACAGTGCCTGCATCTTGGGTTCTTGGGCTGTGCTAGTTGCACTGAGAACACTACTTTTGAAGAGTGCTTTCCCAGTCATGAAGTGTACTCATATTCCTGACACATTTGATCCTCAACAGTTCCATGAGGTAGGCAGGGTAGGGATCATCATCACTGTCAAATAAAGGGGTAAACTGAGGCTTAGAGAGGTGAAACGACATTGATACAGTGACTCGACAAACATTTACTGAGTCCCTTTTCCTAGCACTGCAAGTAAAAACAGGACCACATGTCCTATGAATAATAAGCTGAGTCACCCAGGCGTCTGGGCTCCTAGTTCAATGGTCTTTCTGCCATGCTGTGCCATTGTTCTTCTTGGCTTGGTTGAGGTCAAGGTGTTGAAAGGAACAGCAAACATACAATGGAGCATTGATCCCCGCAAAGCCCCACTCATTTGGCTATTCCCTCTCCAGACCTGGACAAATTTGCTGCAGAAGATATCATTGATCCCATTGCAAAGGCCAAGATGGTGGCTTTGAAAGGCATCAAGAAAGTGATGGCTCAGGGCAGCATTGGGGTGGCACCTGGTATAAACAGGTAAGACTTGGGGCTGGGGTTGGGTTGACCCTTTTCTTTCCTAGTCACCCCTTTCCTTCTTGGCCCCCTTCCCTACTTGTCCCACTTTTTTGTCTTCTAACTTTCTCATTGCCAACACTTATCTTCTATGCTTTGGTGGACTCCAGGCAGCAAGTGTCTCTGCTAGCCCAGAGGCTCTCTGGGGGAGCTGGCAGTGATCTGCAGAACCATGTGGCAGCTGGGAGTGGCCAGGTAAGTGGTCAGGTGGGAGTAGGAACTTGGGTCCTATGCCATTGGGTCACCCTTCTTAGGGCCTGGCATGGAACAAAGACCCTTCAGCACCCTCTCTCATCATAGGAGCGGAGTGCTGGTGACCCCTCCCAGCCTCGTCCCAACCCGCCCACTTTTGCCCAGGGAGTGATCAGTGAGTATGGGACTTGAGGGGAAGTCATGAGGAAGTGGGAACATAGGGAAGAAGAGGGATTGGGATCACCATTTTGCAGGTCCTGACACCCTGCTTCCTTTCCCAGATGAGGCTGACCAGCGGCAATATGAAGAGTGGCTCTTCCATACCCAGCAGCTCCTACAGATGCAGCTGAAGGTGCTAGAGGAGCAGATTGGTGTGCACCGCAAGTCACGGAAGGCTCTGTGTGCCAAGCAGCGCACTGCCAAAAAGGCTGGCCGTGAGTTCCCAGAAGCTGATGCTGAGAAGCTCAAACTGGTTACAGAGCAGCAGAGCAAGATCCAGAAACAGCTGGATCAGGTGGGAAAAGCAAACTTCAGCCTAGCACCCAGAAGTCAGGGAAGTGGGATGGCATAGGTGGGCATGCCCCAGGCTGACCTCTCTGACCCTCCCATGTTAGGTCCGGAAACAGCAGAAGGAGCACACTAATCTCATGGCAGAATATCGGAATAAGCAGCAACAACAGCAGCAGCAGCAGCAGCAGCAGCAGCAGCAACAGCAGCAACAGCAGCAGCAGCAGCAGCAGCAGCAGCAGCAACAGCAGCAACAGCATTCAGCGGTGTTGGCTCTCAGCCCTTCCCAGAGTCCCCGGCTACTTACTAAGCTCCCTGGCCAGCTACTACCTGGCCATGGGCTGCAACCACCACAGGGGCCTCCGGGTGGACAAGCTGGAGGTCTTCGCCTGCCCCCTGGGGGTATGGCACTACCTGGACAGCCTGGTGGCCCCTTCCTCAACACAGCTCTGGCCCAGCAGCAACAACAGCAACATTCTGGTGGTGGTGGATCACTAGCTGGCCCCTCAGGGGGGTTCTTCCCTGGCAACCTTGCTCTTCGAAGCCTTGGACCTGATTCAAGGCTTTTACAGGAAAGGCAGCTACAGCTGCAGCAGCAACGTATGCAGCTGGCCCAGAAACTGCAGCAACAGCAGCAGCAGCACCTCCTAGGACAGGTGGCAATGCAGCAGCAACAGCAGCAGGGTCCTGGGGTACAGGCAAACCAGGCTCTGGGTCCCAAGCCCCAGGGGCTTCTGCCTCCTGGCAGCCACCAGGGTCTCCTGGTCCAGCAGCTGTCCCCCCAGCCGCCCCAGGGGCCCCAGGGCATGCTGGGCCCTGCCCAGGTGACCGTGTTGCAGCAGCAGCACCCTGGAGGTTTGGGCCCCCAGGGCCCTCACAGGCAGGTGCTTATGACCCAGTCCCGGGTACTGAGTTCCCCCCAGCTGGCACAGCAGGGTCAGGGCCTTATGGGACACCGGCTGGTCACAGCTCAGCAGCAGCAGCAGCAGCAGCAGCAACAACAGCACCAACAGCAGGGGTCCATGGCAGGGCTGTCTCATCTGCAGCAGGGTCTGATACCACACAGTGGGCAGCCCAAACTCAGTGCTCAGCCCATGGGCTCCTTACAGCAGCAACAGCTTCAGCAGCAGCAGCAGCTACAGCAACAGCAGCAGCAACAGCTACAACAGCAGCAGCAACTACAACAGCAGCAATTTCAGCAGCAGCAGCAGCAGCAGCAGCAGCAGCAGCAGCAACAGCAACAGCAACAGCAGATGGGCCTCTTGAACCAGAGTCGAACTTTGCTATCTCCTCAGCAACAACAGCAGCAGCAGGTGGCACTTGGCCCTGGTGTACCAGCCAAGCCTCTTCAACACTTTTCTAGTCCAGGAGCCCTGGGCCCAACCCTCCTCTTGACGGGCAAGGAACAAAATATTGTAGAGACGGCTCTTCCTTCAGAGGTCACTGAGGGGCCCTCAGCACATCAGGGAGGGCCATTAACAATAGGGACTACACCTGAGTCAATGACCACTGAACCAGGGGAGGTAAAACCTTCACTCTCTGGAGACTCACAACTCCTGCTTATCCAACCCCAGGCCCAGCCTCAGCCCAACTCTCTGCAGCTTCAGCCACCTGTGAGGCTTCCAGGACAGCAGCAGCAGCAGCAGCAAGTTAACTTGCTCCACACAGCAGGTGGAGGAAGCCATGGGCAACTAGGCAGCGGATCATCGTCTGAGGCTTCATCTATGCCCCACCTGCTGGCCCAACCCTCTGTTTCCTTAGGGGAGCAGCCTGGGCCCATGACCCAGAACCTTCTGGGCCCCCAACAACCCCCTGGGCTAGAGCGGCCCATGCAAAATAATATAGGGCAACAACCTCCTAAACAAGGACCTGTTCCCCAGTCTGGGCAGGGTCTGCCTGGGGTTGGAGTTATGCCTACAGTGGGTCAGCTTCGAGCACAGCTCCAAGGAGTCCTGGCCAAAAACCCACAGCTGCGGCACTTGAGTCCTCAACAGCAACAGCAGCTACAGGCACTTCTCATGCAGCGGCAGCTGCAGCAGAGTCAGGCAGTACGCCAGACCCCACCCTACCAGGAGCCTGGGACCCACCCCTCTCCTCTCCAGGGCCTCCTGGGCTGCCAACCCCAAATTGGGGGCTTCCCTGGATCCCAGACAGGCCCCCTCCAGGAGCTGGGGGCAGGACCTCGACCTCAGGGCCCACCCCGGCTCCCTGCCCCACAAGGAGCCTTATCTACAGGACCAGTCCTTGGCCCTGTCCATCCCACACCTCCACCATCCAGCCCCCAAGAGCCAAAGAGACCTTCACAATTACCTTCCCCCAGCTCTCAGCTCCCCACCGAGTCCCAGCTCACCCCCACCCATCCAGGCACCCCAAAGCCCCAGGGGCCACCCTTGGAGCTGCCTCCGGGGAGGGTCTCACCTGCTGCTGCCCAGCTTGCGGATACCTTGTTTGGCAAGGGGCTGGGAACTTGGGACCCCCCAGACAACCTAGCAGAAGTCCAGAAGCCGGAGCAGAGCAGCCTGGTACCTGGGCATCTAGAACAGGTGGTGAATGGACAGGTGGTGCCTGAGCCACCCCAACTCAGCATCAAACAGGAACCTCGGGAAGAGCCATGTGCCCTGGGAGCCCAGGCAGTGAAGAGGGAGGCCAATGGGGAACCAATAGGGGCACCAGGTACCAGCAACCACCTCCTGCTGGCAGGCCCCCGCTCAGAGGCTGGACATCTGCTCTTGCAGAAGCTTCTACGGGCAAAGAATGTACAACTCAGCAGTGGGCGGGGGTCCGAGGGGCTGCGAGCTGAGATCAACGGGCACATTGACAGCAAGCTGGCTGGGCTGGAGCAGAAACTACAGGGTACCCCCAGCAACAAGGAGGTGAGTACTCGAGAGTGAAGCGGGTAGATTAGGGCCTGTAGCCAACCGGGGGCAGTGTGAGTGGGTCTTGATCAGACAGAAGAGATGAAGGCTCTGAGGATGACGGCTGCAGCCTTCACTAGGCTTATCTGGCTTAGGATGCAGCAGCAAGGAAGCCTTTGACACCGAAGCCCAAGCGGGTACAGAAGACAAGCGACAGGTTGGTGAGCTCCCGAAAGAAGCTGCGGAAGGAGGACGGAGTCAGGGCCAGCGAGGCCTTGCTGAAACAGCTGAAACAGGTGATCCCAGGAGCCAGTCCCCTGGTCCCATCCCAGGATAGGGGGGACCCAGTCCCCCAGCTGTGTAATGACAGAGATGCAAATGCTGCAGATTTCCAACTTTGTCATCTTGCCCTTCCTAGGAGCTGTCCTTGCTGCCCCTAACGGAGCCTGCTATCACCACCAATTTTAGCCTCTTTGCTCCCTTTGGCAGTGGTTGCCCAGTCAGTGGGCAGAGCCAGCTGAGGGGGGCCTTTGGAAGTGGGGTGCTGTCCACTGGCCCTGACTACTATTCCCAGCTGCTTACCAAGGTCAGAAAAATGGCAATACCTTTTGGGAATAATGAAGTTCTTGGGAAAATGGGGGTGGGAATGGAAGACATGCGGAAATTGCTGATGTAGTGTGGGGCCAGGAGATTATATCAGTCTCCCTATGCCGTCTTGCGCACAACACCCCCCACCCGCACCCCCCAGAATAACCTGAGTAACCCGCCGACACCACCCTCGTCGCTGCCCCCCACCCCACCCCCATCGGTGCAGCAGAAGATGGTAAATGGTGTCACTCCATCTGAGGAGCTGGGGGAGCACCCCAAGGATGCCGCCTCTGCCCGGGATACTGATGGGGCACTAAGGGGTAAGTTGAGAGCAAATATCTCCCTCAGTGCGGTTTGGTGGCTAGGTGCCAAGCCAATTAGTGTGCCGTATGGTTTAAGGTTTAAGAAATGAGTGGGTTGCATTCTGCCCTGTGTGCTTACATGACAGGGCACCTGGGCTAGGAAGGGCCTTTTCAGGACTGATTTGTTGGGGGCAAGGATGGGCTTCTGGACTCGAGAGCAACGGCAACAGGGTGGGTGGCGGGGATTGTCTTAATGATGCTTTATGTAGAAGGAACAGTCCAGTTTTAGTGGGGAGCTACAGTCCAGTTTTAGTGGGGAGCTACAGTCCAATCTGGATTTGAATTGTCATTCTTGCATTTATTGAGCTGTGTTACTTCAGCTAAGTAACTTTTGATTGACTTGTGTGAGCCTAATTTCCTTTGATATTGTAGTACTCACCTAATGGAGTTGTTAAAAGGTTAAATAAAGAATGTACCTAAAGCCCAGAGCCTGGCACACAGGAAAGGCTCAATAAATACAGCTTGTCTGCCCCAAATTGGTGGGTGGGAGGGTAGTCAATCATGATAGCTAAGCTGAGAACTCATGCTAGTAGACCTGAAATATTGGGGAGAAAGTACCATCAGCTCTGGCCACCTTCACCCTGACTTTTCTTCTCCCTACGCACCCACCAGATGCTTCAGAGGTGAAGAGCCTAGACCTGCTGGCTGCCTTGCCTACACCCCCTCACAATCAGACTGAGGATGTCAGGTAGGGGTGGGGCCGGAATAGGGGTGGGGGTGCAGGTTGCCTCATTTTTCCTTTGGCCAATGGCAGATTTCAAATAAGATAATAACATCTACTAAAATCCACATCTGGGAGAGGGAATCCACAGGGCTGTAGCTACAAATGTCTACTTGTGGCACACAGGATGGAGAGTGATGAGGATAGCGATTCTCCTGATAGCATTGTGCCAGCTTCATCCCCTGAGAGTATCCTGGGGGAAGAGGCTCCTCGTTTCCCTCATCTGGGCTCAGGCCGGTGGGAGCAGGATGACCGGGCCCTTTCCCCCGTCATCCCCATCATTCCTCGGGCCAGCATCCCAGGTATGTGCTGCTGTGAGAACGGGCCAGGCCAGGCTCAGCTGGCTTGTCAGAAGCTGGGGAGAGAGGAAGCCGAGTTTTACACGAGTCCCTCTTTCTCATTCAGTCTTCCCAGATACCAAGCCTTATGGGGCCCTCGACCTGGAGGTCCCTGGAAAGCTGCCTGCCACATCTTGGGAAAAGGGCAAAGGAAGTGAGGTATCAGTCATGCTGACAGTCTCAGCTGCTGCAGCCAAGGTATGTTCTGAGGGTGCCTCGAGGCCAAGGGGACCCTGATCAGAGGGCAGTCCCTGGAGTTTGTCCTGATAAAAAAAAAAATGCCATTGTTCAGAAACATGTACTAAGTACCGACTATATGGGAAAGCCTGGGTTAGAGGCTGTGGGATTAGGGTACATGAAGCATGGTCCTTGCCCTCCAGGGGCTCATGGCAGACAAGTGGTAAAAGACAGATAAGTCAGCAAATAAGGAGAATTTGTGTAATGTGACAGATGCTACAAGACAGCGTTTCCCCAGTCACATTGGTAAAACTCTGTCCATTGTTTTTGAAAACGTGAACAGGATTTTGTGGTCAAAGAAAATTGGAAAGCCCAAGTTAAAACAATAATATGGGTTTCTTCACTATAAGACTCCTCAAGTCCTTTAATTTGCTAACGTATGTCATGAATCCCTAAGTTATGGATATAGCATGCATCATTGCCTAAACTTAGTTGACATGGTTCACTTTTTGTGGAGCTCCTGTCAGTGCCCACAGCAGTTTGGAAGTGTGTGAGAAGAGCTGGAGTGGCACAGGGGCAGGACTGACCCCTGGGGAATGGATTGTAGGTGCCTTTGTCCCCACCGAGTTGGTGGTAGTGATTACTTCAGATACTCTGCTGACATGTCTCTTCCGTCCTTCCCTGCCCTGCCAGAACCTGAATGGTGTGATGGTGGCAGTGGCAGAGCTGCTAAGCATGAAGATCCCCAACTCCTATGAGGTGCTGTTCCCAGAGAGCCCTGCCCGGGCAGGCGTTGAGTCTAAGAAGGGGGAAGCTGAGGGCCCTGGTGAGTGTGACAGGAAAGCCCCTTAGGACCTGAGGGGAATGATTCTTGTGGGAGGCTCTGACCTGTTCCTTTCTGCAGACGGGAAAGAAAAGGGTCTGGGAGGTAAGAGCCCAGACGCTGGCCCTGATTGGCTGAAGCAATTTGATGCAGTGTTGCCTGGCTATACCCTCAAGAGCCAGCTGGACATCTTGAGCCTCCTGAAACAGGTAGGTCAGGGGAGAAAAAGGGGTGAGTGTTAGGAAAGAGGTGCTGCCTAGGGCAAAGAAGGCAGAGGGCTTTTGGGAGAGTGGAACCTAAGTGAGCGAGGGAGGGGGCTAGTTAGTTGAGGAACTGACACTAATGATACAGGGTGCCCTCCCATAGGAGAGCCCCACCCCAGAGCCGCCCACCCAGCACAGCTACACCTACAATGTCTCCAATCTGGACGTGCGACAGCTCTCAGCCCCACCTCCTGAAGAACCGTCCCCACCTCCATCCCCCTTGGCACCTTCTCCTGCCAGTCCCCCTGCTGAACCCTTGGTTGAACTTCCGGCTGAACCCTCGGCTGAGCCACCAATCCCCTCGCCTCTGCCTCTGGCCTCATCCCCTGAATCAGCCCGGCCCAAACCCCGAGCCCGGCCTCCTGAAGAAGGTGAAGATTCCCGTCCCCCTCGCCTCAAGAAATGGAAGGGAGTACGCTGGAAGCGGTTGCGGCTACTGCTGACCATCCAGAAGGGTAGTGGGCGGCAGGAGGATGAGCGGGAAGTGGCAGAGTTCATGGAGCAGCTCGGCACAGCCTTGCGACCCGACAAGGTGCCTCGAGACATGCGGCGCTGCTGCTTCTGTCATGAGGAGGGTGATGGGGCCACTGATGGGCCTGCCCGCCTACTGAACCTGGACCTGGACCTATGGGTGCACCTCAACTGTGCCCTGTGGTCCACAGAGGTGTATGAGACCCAGGGTGGAGCACTGATGAATGTGGAGGTTGCCCTGCACCGAGGACTGCTAACCAAGTGCTCCCTGTGCCAGCGAACTGGTGCCACCAGCAGCTGCAATCGCATGCGTTGCCCCAACGTCTACCATTTTGCTTGTGCCATCCGCGCCAAGTGCATGTTCTTCAAGGACAAGACCATGCTTTGTCCAATGCATAAGATCAAGGGGCCCTGTGAGCAGGAACTGAGCTCTTTTGCTGTTTTCCGGCGAGTTTACATTGAGCGGGACGAGGTGAAGCAAATCGCCAGCATCATTCAGCGGGGAGAACGGCTACACATGTTCCGCGTGGGGGGCCTTGTGTTCCATGCCATCGGACAGCTGCTGCCTCACCAGATGGCTGACTTCCACAGTGCCACTGCCCTCTATCCTGTGGGCTATGAGGCCACACGCATCTACTGGAGCCTCCGCACCAACAATCGTCGCTGCTGCTACCGCTGCTCTATTGGCGAGAACAACGGGCGGCCAGAGTTTGTAATCAAAGTCATCGAGCAGGGCCTGGAGGACCTGGTCTTCACTGATGCCTCTCCCCAGGGTGAGCACTGGGCCTTTGAAATGGTGATGTGGAATTGGGCAAGTTTCTGCCAGGGTCACTGTTAAGATGTCCATAAGAGGATCTGCAGCCTCCTTGTGAGTGATCCTCCTCCCTCGCCTTAGGCAGGAATAGTCTCTTGAAAGTGTTTCAGTATCTCTCAATCACCTTAAGTTCACTCATAATTGAAAATATTTTGCTTGTCTAATCTCACATAGTCTAGCTCCTTTTTCTCTCCTCAGTGAAACTATAGAATGCAGTTCTGAGATCCTATCATCTGGTTCGCCCAACCTGATCCTAACCATGAGTTCCTTGTGGTTGTTTTTCCCTGGACAGAATGTTTCAATCTTAATTTTAGTGTTAATGAGAAAAATAACAATAAGAGCAGGTACCTTTTATTGAGTGTGTACTGTGTGCCACAAACTAAGCTAAGTGATTTGAATAGGTCATTTTAGTCATACAACCCTATGAGGTAATTACTGTGATTATGCCTATTTTGTACATAAAGAAACTAAGTCTTAGATTTAAGTATGATCGTGTGTGATTTAATGATGGGGATACTTTCTGAGAAATGTATTGTTAGTTAATTTCAATATTGAGTGAACCTCATAGAGTGTGCTTACACAAACCTAGATGATATAGTATTCTGCACACCTATATGGTATAGCCTATTGCTCCTAAGCTACAAACCTGTGTAGCATGTTACTGTCCTGAATACTGTAGGCAATTGGAACACAGTAGTATTTGTATATCTGAACATATTTAGACATAGAAAAGGTACAGTAATAATACAGCTTCATAATCTTATGGGATTACTGTATATGCAGTCCATTGTTGACTGAAATGTTATGTTGTACATGACTGTTTGGCTCATGGTCCCATGGCCAGCACTAAAACCTGAACCCAACTCTTCCCAGCTCCATAGCATGCCTGCTCTTTCAGCAAGGACTGTGGCCTATGTTAGGTCTCCTGGGCCCTAGGTGTGTGTCTCAAGGCTCTGTGATGCCCCTCTAGGGTTGGAAACCTCCTGGCTTCTTAAGAGAGTGGGACTAGGAGGTCAAGAGGGAGTCCTGAAGATCCACACGCATTCACGACAGGGAGGTGTGAAAGCCATGGAAAACAACTTCAGCTCTAGATTAGGGTTAGGGACTGGGTGTCAGTGAGCAGAAGTTGCCTCTGAGGGCTGTTCTCTTTCCCTACCTCTTAGCTGTATGGAATCGCATCATTGAGCCTGTGGCTGCCATGAGAAAAGAGGCTGACATGCTGCGGCTCTTCCCAGAGTACCTGAAAGGCGAGGAGCTCTTCGGGTTGACAGTGCATGCGGTGCTTCGCATAGCTGAATCAGTAAGGAATGGGCTGGGAACTGGGGAATAGGTGGGCACTGGGAGCTTTGGCCTTGCCCCAAAAGGGCTCAGGCTAAGGTGTGCACAACCTGTGCCCACAGCTGCCTGGAGTGGAGAGCTGTCAAAACTATTTATTTCGTTATGGGCGCCACCCTCTGATGGAGCTGCCACTCATGATCAACCCCACTGGCTGTGCCCGATCGGAGCCTAAAATCCTCACACACTACAAACGGTGAGCTTGTGGGGCTGGGGCCGAGGCATGTGGGTGTGGGTATTGGTAGGGATCCTCTGGCTACATTATGAGGGTTTAGGATGCAGATCAGAGTTCCGTTAGAGAAACTGGGGATTCATTCTTAGACCTCCTGATTAGAGGGTACACAGGTATCACTAGGGGGTATCCTTTTCCTCCTCCCCTAACCTGCTCAGGTATACTGGGTTGATCTGGGGTGTAGGACAGAGTTATCTGGGGTACCCTGGAAATGGCTGCTGGGGAGGTTCTGGGTAGACAGTGGTGAAATTTCACAAAATATAAAAGGGACCTGGTCACCTCTTCCCTCTTCTGTTTTACTTCCAGGGGGGCCTGTGATTCTCCCAAACGTCAGACACCCCATGAGTGATAGGGTCACCTTCCCTTCCCCAGGCTGAGTTGGTGTCAAAAATAAATAATTAGAGATATAATAGAAAGATAATAAAACCTTACATTTGTATAGCACTTTATACTTTTTTTTTCAAAGCGTTTTCACATCCATTATCTCATTTGATCCTCACAACAACCTTATGAGGTAGGTAGGGCAGGTGGTATGACCCCCATTTTCCAGCTGAGAAAACTGAGACCCAGAAAGATTAAGTGACTAAACAAAGGTCACACAGCTGGGACTAGACTCTTTTACCTCTTGACTTGTGGGTCACTGTTCTTTCTGTGTGCCATAGTAACCTGACCTTGGTCCCTGGGCAGAGGGAGGCAGAATCCACGGTAGCAGGGCTTTCTTGAAGGCCTTTGGAGGCTCCTAGGCTGTCGTAGAGCGTCAGAGACTCTACCCCTAGTCAGCCCTCGTCTTGATGCTCTACAACGGTGGTTTTCAAACTGTGAGCACATGTGTTCCAAAAAACACATAAACTGGTAGGCAGAACTTGGCCCTCCCATGCATAACTCCCCCTCCCCCAAATTGGATTCGACCAGAAGAGCTCCATTGTCATCTAGTTTATGTATTGGAGCTCTAATTAACATTTTGTTACAGGAAAAAAAGGATTTCTGCTAAATAAAAACGAAAAGAACCAAAAACGTTTGAAAACCACTGCTCTGGGATGGGCAAGAATTGGCTGGTGCCCTAGGGTGGTGGAAAGGCATCCCGTCAGGCAGCAGTCATTCCCCTGCACTGAGCCCGACGTTATGTCAGAGAAGGGGACAGTCTGAAGAAATGAAGGATACCACCTTTAGGCTGTGAATTCATAGCCTGTTTTAATTCAAATCCAGCCCAATGTGGTAGACATGGCCCCCATTTTCAGAGCTTCCGGTATGTGCAGGAGGTAGGACTGAGGTATTCAAGCAAACCATCAGCTTAAATTCTAGGCCTGGGCTGCTTGGGGATGACCTCCCAGAGGAGCATGGCCTTGAGTATGGTTTGGCAGGAGGGTGGTAGGAAATGGGAGATGGGAGAGCAGGCTCAGTGTAGGGGAACTGGTGCCCCCCTCTCCCTCCATGCCCCACCCCTCATCCTGGGCTCTCTGTGTCACCCAGAGTGTCTGAAGGGTCCCTGTAGCTAGTTGTTGCCTCACCAGAGCTGAGACCCAGTTGCCTCTACTCCACTCCCAAGGCAGCACATGCCCCTAATTGGCATGTTGCGTACCCCAGGGTGGAGGCAGAGGAGGCTGGTGGTGTGTGCTTGGTCTGAGGGAGAACTGTCTTGTCATGGACTGTATCACCTCCCAGGCCCCATACCCTGAACAGCACCAGCATGTCTAAGGCATATCAGAGCACCTTCACAGGCGAGACCAACACCCCGTACAGCAAGCAGTTTGTGCACTCCAAGTCATCTCAGTACCGGCGGCTGCGCACCGAGTGGAAGAACAATGTGTATCTGGCTCGCTCCCGTATCCAGGGCCTGGGGCTCTATGCAGCCAAGGACCTAGAAAAGCACACAATGGTCATCGAGTACATTGGCACCATCATTAGAAATGAGGTGGCCAACCGGCGGGAAAAAATCTATGAGGAGCAGGTATGGGCCATTGTGGTGCATAGCCACACTCAGCCAAGGAGCGAGGGCAGGACTGGGCCTGGGAGAGTAGGCGGGAAGCTGGGGGTGGGTGGTGGCAGGTAGGGAAGAGGCAGGAGAAATACAGAGCATGTGGGAGAAGCCCACTGCCTGAATCTTCTACCTGCTCCCACCACCACTGCTTCTGTTCTCTGATACTCTTGTTCTTTCTTCCATAACCTCTGCCTTTCTAGAATCGAGGCATCTACATGTTCCGAATAAACAATGAACATGTGATTGATGCTACGTTGACCGGAGGCCCTGCCAGGTGAGAGGAATGAGGAAGGAAGGATTTAGGGTCTCTGAGGGTGGCATTCTGGGGGTAGGCCAACAAGGAACCAAAATTGTGCCAACTCAGTTGCCTGGCATCACTGACTCTGTTCCACTCTCCAGGTACATTAACCATTCCTGTGCCCCTAACTGTGTGGCGGAAGTCGTGACATTTGACAAAGAGGACAAAATCATCATCATCTCCAGCCGGCGAATCCCCAAAGGAGAGGAGGTGAGAGGAAGTATCCTGAGTGGGTGACAGAGTAGCTCCTCCTTCTCTCCTCTTCTCTGCCATTCCCTAAGAGCTGAGTTCCAAGGCCACTCCCCTCACATCAGGTCTTCACTGCCCGCTCTTCCTCTGGCTGGCTAACATTGATACATTGATTCTGCCCTCTTCTCTTTCCAGCTGACCTATGACTATCAGTTTGATTTTGAGGACGATCAGCACAAGATCCCCTGCCACTGTGGAGCCTGGAATTGTCGGAAATGGATGAACTAAGAAGCTTTGAGGCTACCAGGCAGGGGAGTCCCCCAACCCCCAACCTCTTCCCTGAAAGGGATGAGGGGGAAGAGAGGTAGCAGCCAGAGCCAGGACCCAGGGCTGGGGCTGCCGGCTGACCGGAGCCCCTGGAGCAGGAGGCTGGGGCAGAGGGCCCTAGGCCAAGCCCACCCTGGGCACCAGGGACAACCCTCTTCCCCGCCACCGGCCCTCAGGCTGGCATCTCTGCCCCCAGCTCCAGGAGGGGCCAGACAGAAGCAGCCATTGGGCATCTCAGGTTTGAGGGGGATATGGGCCGGGAACTACCCAGAAGCATCTGGGAGGCAGCAGGGAGGGGGGAGGAGGATGTGTGGCCGGGCCTCACAGCCCTGCTGCTCCCACTGACCTCTCCGGCCCAACTCAAGGCTGCAAAGAGACTTGACTAAGCTTGACAATCCCAAAGGCCGGGTCCCACACCTGGCCCTGCCTGCCGGGTCCTGCCCCCACCCTCACCCTCATCCTCTTCCCTCTTGATCTGTCTCTGTCTCCCTCTTCTCCTCTGTGTTTCTGTCTCTCTATGGGTTGTGTTTCCTTGTTTTTCACTCTGACAAATGCAACATGAACGGGAAAGAGGCGCTCAGCTGCCCAGGAGGGCAAGCTGGGCAGGCCGGGCAAGGAGACCCCGCACCCACACCTACCTCATTTAAGTGTTGGATTTTTTGCTGTTTTGAAATGTGAGACCCTCTCCAAGCCCCCTACTGCCCCAACCCTCTCCCCCACCTCACTGCCCTCTTCTGAGTGGGTAGAAGGGGGGTAGGAAGAGGAAGAAAAATCAACAACAAAAAATCCATCTTTGTTTTTAATTATGGGCATGGAATGGTGGTTGAGGCAAATGATGATGAAGATTGGGGATGACTGGCCCCTAGTTGCTCTAGGACTTCCTTCTCCATCTGGACATGGGGGCAGGAGGGGTGTGCTAAACCTAGGACCAGGATATCTCCCTCCTGTTTTCCCAACCCCATCATGAGCCCATTTGCCCTCCAGCCCCTAGATGGGGTGGGTGGGGGGTAGGGTGAGGGCTGTCCCTGAGTGGCATGCCCATACCTAGTGAGGCAGGGTGTGGCCTGGAGCTCCCACTTTCCCTCAGACACCAAACTGCTGCTGGTCTGGTGGGAAGGGGTGGTGATGTGGGGGTGGGGGAGCTTAGTGTCAGCGCGGGGAGGGTGGGGGGTATTTATCTATTTATACGTGGGATTGTACATAGTCTTGTGGGGCATGGGGGAGCCGGCTGGAGGTGAGAACCCTCCCCTCTCCCCCCACCCCCGGGGAGAGCAAATGTAAAACTACTAATTTTTGTGCTTTATATATTCTATATAAATATATCTATTTTCTTTTTACAAAACCAGTTTATAAATGGTAGGGGGGCATGGGGCGGACACATGGAGCTCCCCTTGTGGGGGGGCCCCCTCCATTACCCAACCTACCGCCCTTTTCCTCACCCCCCCCACTCCCCACCCCCTGGCTGTGACTGCTGTAAGATGGGGGTATAGAGGCTGGACAAGTCCCACCCCCTGTTGTATAGTTGGACTATGTTATAACGCACAAAGTGAGCTGACCCCAGGGGGAGCCAGAGGGTGATGGGTTCCCTGCCTCCCTTTCCTTCCCCTTTCTGCCCAAGCTTGTGCTGCAGTTGAACCTCTTCCTGGGGGTGAGGGTAGGTAGGGGGTGGGTGAGGCCCCAAACCCCTCTCTGGTAGGGAACCATGGGGATGAAGATGAAGCTTATATGCAGTTCTCTCCTAGGGGCTGTGGGCAAAGGGCATTTTGTAATTAATATTTTCAAGAATCAAATGTCTGGATTGTAGGGGTGGGCTTGGTGGTGGCGGATGGGTGGGCCTGCTGGAGGGGGAGCTCGGTCACTGTTGTGATTTTAGGTTTGTTTTTGTTTTGTTTTGAATTTAGGGGGTTGTGGATTGTTGGGGGTAGGGAGTTTTTGGTTTTTTTTTAAGCTGCTTCTTCAACTGTTTCAAGCTGCAAATGTTTAAGAGAATAACACCCCCCCACTCCCACAGGAACCGCTGTTAATTAAATCAGACAGTAGGGAGACTGGGCTGCTGCCCCCAAAGCCACAGCCCTTGGATGTTCCTTTTCCATGAGCAAAAGGTCTAGGCTACAGGGAGGGGGAGATTGGCTCCTGTGAGTCAGGCTCTGGTTGGGGCTTGGGCCCTGGGACTGGGAAAAGGGGATGGGGCAGACTTTGTAAGCATATACTAGGTATCTGATAGTCCTGTAGATTTTAGTGAAGAAACCTTATACAGTTTTTAATTTTTATATAAACTATAACTCAGACCCAAGCTACAAGGTTGGAATTTTGGTTGTTGGTTTTTTTAAGTACCCTGCCTGTATAATTGCATCAGAATCCTACCCCCCGCCCTCCCCCGTGTTTGTATTTTGGGTTGGTTTACACTCGCACATACTCAATTTTCAGTTTTCCCCTTTACAGTCTTCTCCCCTCACCTCCAGGACCCTCCCCCTTTTTAAAAAATAAATCGCTGACAAGTGTGAATCCCGTGAAGACTTTATTTTGTGTTGTGTGTATCCTGTACAGCAAGGTTGGTCCTTCGTAACAACGGATGAAATGGTTCCCTTTTTTAAAGCGCCCTCTCTCCCTCTATCCCCAGCGCCCCTGTCCTTGGCATGTTTTGTATCAGCGATCATTCTGAACTGTACATAATTTATGTTGCGAGAGGCAAAGGGCAAGTTTTGGATTTTGCTTCTTCCAAGTTTGTTTTTAAACGACAAATAAAAAAAGGACATTTTAAATACAAGAGGCTCAGTCCCGTGACCCTCGTCGTCAGCCGGATCCGTGAAGTCCGCGAGGACCCGGGGGAGGGCGGTTAAGAGGCCAGGCGAGCGCCGGAAGGGTGGGCTCTCCGCCTTCCGTCCTAGTCTTGTGGCTGCCATGACGTGGGCGGAAGTGGCTTCGCGGCACCGGATGTGGGGCGGGGCCTGCCCCAAGCCAGCTTCCTAAAACGAACGAACCGAGCCAGCTCCTCTTGCAATGGAGACGGTGAGGAGAGCTGGAGGGCGGCGGGAGGCGCTGTGGAGCCTGAGACCCCCGTTAGGAGACAGGGAGGGCTGGGCAGGGGCTAGCGCTGGTGACTAGCAGACAAGACGCAGCTGGGTGTCTGTCTTGTCCCGTGACCCTGCCCCTGCGCTCCTTCACTGGGCTCATCTAGCACTGGGCCGCACCCATGCCTTCTTTTTGTCCGTGGTACCCTAAGCCCGAGCGCACAGTGACTCCTAGCTCCCTGCTTGGAGTTTACGTACTCCCTGGCAATCTCGGGCTTCCTTTCCTTTCAGCACTTCAAGCCCATTCAGAGGTTTGCTTGAGAGAGCAGTGTTGTGATCCAGCTTTACTGGGTGAGGCGGGGGCTGGGAGGGGGGGTCCGGAGGGATCCCTGCTTTCAGGTAGCTTCTGGACCTCGGTTGTCTGTGATCTCTGCAATCCCTGGCAGGAAGGACATCTGAAGACTTTTATACTGCGTTGAGCGAGGTCATACTCCGTTAGTAAGACTGAGAATTGGGGTTTGCCTGAAAGAGGGAATCCTTCAGTGTGAGAGGCCGCTGTGTCCCTTCGACAAGTTTAGATCATACCCTGCGCTGCGACTCAAAGCAGGCGTTTTGGTATAGCTCATTCTTGGCGAGCAGGCATCGACCAGTTGTGGCAGGTCCCTGTCACCCTCCCACAGATGCTGCAGGTTGTCTGCTACATATTTGAAGCTACTCTCATTCTCAGGAGCCTTTCTCTAGCACTCTGGAACCCCTCCGATCCATTTCCCTCTCCACAGTTTTGAACCATTTTGAACCATGTATCCTATGTCAGGCAGAGTAACTCTTACCACCTTGGTTTTCATCATCTGCCAACTGTAATTGTGAAAGAACTGAGGGTTCACTTTGCTTTGGATCAGTTACATACCCAGAGTAATTCTTTGCCACACTCTTTCTCCTCCTGCAGAGAGGTCGTGTCCCCCAGGTTTTTAAAAAACAAACCAGACCAAAGTGGTAAAGTGATTTGCAATTGGTCACCCAAGCAAGGGAATAAGTTCCTACAGATTAAGAGAATTTTGAGCAAGAATAAAGGGTCTGATTCCATTAAATTTAAAATAACAAATCATTTTCTACTTGTAGATGTATAATGGTTTACAAAGCTTCTTTATTTAGATTTTCTAATTTAGACTTCACACTTTACGTACTGGATTAGGTTCTGGGGATAGAAATTGTTTTAAAAAGAAGAAAAAGAGGCCAGGCATGGTAGCCTATGCCTGTAATCCTAGCACTTTGGGAGGCCGAGGTGGGAAGATTGTCAGAGGCCAAGAGTTCAAGACCAGCCTGGGCAATAGCTAGACCCTGTCTCTACCAAAAAAAAAAAAAAAAAAAAAACCAGCCGGGTATGGTGGCTTGCACCTGTAGTCCCAGCTACTTGGAAGGCTGAGGCAGGAGGATTGCTTGAGCCTAGGAGTGTGAAGTTGCTGTGAGCTATGATGACACCACTGCACTCCAGCCCTGGCAACGGAGTGAGACCCTATCTCAAAACAAAAAACAAAAACAAAAAAAACAGAAAAAGAAGAAAAATGCTTTGCTTAACTAGAGTGAGGGTGAGGGCAAGCCAGCAACAGCTGTTATTTAAGGTAGACTGTAATAAATACTATCAAGAAGATGAAAACAAAGGATTGTGAAAGCATAGAAGAGGGAGACAATTACTGTGGACCTAGGAGAGGGCATTGCTGATTGAGAGAACGGTATGAGCAAGGGCATAGAAATTGGGGTATGTAGAGAATAATTGGGGGTTAGCCAGTGGTCTGCTGTTGCTGGAGTTTGGATTTTGGTCACAGTGGGAGAAAAGACTGGAAAAGTAGGCTCAGATCAGGTTGAATGTATTGCATACCATGCTAAGTTTGAACTTTGTTTTGTAACAGGTGACCCATGAAGTTAAGGCTGTGAAAGTGGAAAGGAGACAGATGGATCTGAGGCATTTCTAACATGTCAGCTTAGCTGATACACGTTAGGGAGAGTAAAGGAATCAAGACTACAGTTCTAGGGCACCTGGGAAGACAGCAATGCAAAAAAAAGAAAGAAAGAAATGGAGAGAGATGGGAGCCACAGTAAAAATAATAGGATTGGAGGTTGGAGGGACAAATGATGTTTTGTTTTGTATTGAGGCATTTAAGGAGTCTCTATGATATCTGCGGTTGTCAAACAAATGACTGGAAATGTTGGTCAGGAGTTTCGAAGAAATTATGAGTCTATGTGTCAGAAGTAGCCTGTGTCTCTGTAATAATATTTTGTACTTAGGTAGTATAGTGGTATTTTCTCAGGTCCCCTATGTTATTAAAAGTAGAGAGGAGGGATATAATTCCCCCTCTCATGTGGTAAAACAGCTAAAAAGTTAAAGTCATACATTCAATTGTGTTTGACTCTTGTTATGTTGGTATCTATATCTATTTAGCTATTCTCTCTCTGTAACTTAGTCTTAGGTTTCTCTGTTCATATCAGTGGCCATCATTATTAAAGAATTTTTTAAAACTGTGAATTGTATGCAAAATAATTCACAAAAAAACCTATGCTAAGTTGTTTGGGGGATACAAAGTATAAGGTAGTTCTAGGCTTCCAGGAATTTATAATCTGGATAGATAATGAACAAAATAACTGTAGCACAGTGCAGTATGTAAGTATCATATGATGGCTGCAGTAACTTCTACAGAAGTACCTGTTTCTGTGCCCTTGTGTAGATCTTTGTGAGACTCTGATATATTAATACCATGTATCTATCTTTACAGCTAAACAGCCCTCTCTCCCACTTATAAGTGATGAGGCTGTTATTCCAATAGCCTTGCCAAAATGCCAGGCCAAGCTGATAGTCTTATGCAGCCCAGAGGGAAGAGAGGAAGATTATCCCTCTTCCCCCACACTCTGCCCTCCCCTGACCCATTAGGGGAGGGAAATTGAGGGCTGTCCTGCCAACTTGACTCTGTTTGCCAGCCAACCTTCCAAGTTTAAGCCAAGGCCTTTAACGTCATGTTACTACAGAAGCTATAGAAGTGAAGAATGACTTTAAGTTAGTTTGCAGGATATTACCCAGAGCAAATGGAGCCAAAATTGTTGATGCCAATGGATGAAAATTGTCATGATTCCTCCTGGGTTCTTAGAGAACAATGAAATTTCCAAATGTTCCCACTTGAGGGAGCACAGAGATGGTTCTGAAGCTTTATCTATTCAAAGCACTCTCTCATCTCTAATCTCAAACTATCTTGGAAAAGGGAACTTGGAAAACCAGCATCACCTGGGCTATAGCAGCCATTTACTCACAAAGGTGCCGAGAGGACTCAAGTTCCCAGGTTCAGAACATTTATGCTCCTTATCTACCCCCCAGTCATTCAAGCTTTGACTGTCGAGCTGACAGTCACCTGCTGGGATCCTTCCAGCAGGTGGAAGGATCCTACCCTTTCTCAATGGTAAGGGGTATGTCTGTGATTTTAGTGCCCACAACTAAGCTTAATTAGTGTTTGGGGGCAGACAATGTTATCTCTATCTCTTTGGCTTCCACGTTTTAATAAAGTAGATATTTTAGTCTTAGCTTTTAATACTTAATGTTTCATTAAGCAGCATAGTATATAAGAACATGAGCTTTGGAACCAGATAGATGTGTATTTGAATCCCTACTTTACCCCTTACCAGCCATGTAACCTTGGGCAGGTTACTTAATGTGTCTTGACCCTCAGTTTCCTAATCTGTGAAAATAAGGCTAATAATAGTATTAACTTCAGGATTGTTATGAAGATTAAATGAGATAATATTTAATGAAGGGCCTTTTAGTGCTTTAAAGGAAATCATTAGTTCACCAGCTCTTCCCCTAATGTTGCTAAGCTAAAATGGGTGGAGCCTAGTTTTGCTAAATCCATTTCTCTTGTCTCTCCAGGTCATTTCTTCAGATAGCTCCCCAGCTCTGGAAAATGAGCATCCTCAAGGTAAGTTTATTGAAGACAGAGAAACTGGGCATCAAAACAGCCTGACCATAACAATGTCTACAACAATGCTTTTGAATCTCTCTCAGGGTTATTCCTGGGAAAATCAAAGCGGGGCTAGATAATGTGCCAAACCATACAAATCAGGAACAATAATTTGGCAAGATCACCCAGGAGTAAATCTGGGGCAGAGTGGAGACAATTAACATCTTCTATTATCAAACCACTTGAGAGAAACTTCTGAGGTACAAGGAAAACTTCCATAGGCGACTCTGGGCTGGCTAACCATGTTTTAACAGTCCCTGGTATTTTCTGCATAGTCCAAAAATAATTTCAGCAGAATTTTTAGTTAGCAGGCTCAATAAAGCCACTAAGTACACTCAAGAAATTATGCAAAGGCCTTGAAAGTCCTTAGGCTTAGAAGTAATCTGGTAGTAGAATCACTAAACCTCTAAAATCCAGAGCACAGGGGAAGACAATCCCAATGCCTGCCTAAATACCTGGTTAGAATGGAATGGTCCAACCCTAGGCCATCTAGAAAGAAGCAGAACTTACAAGCATCTCTGTCTGGTAAAGGATTTGGCCCAGGGACACTCCTGGGTCTTCCTAGCACGTTTCTGGCATCACGGGTATGCACTTTGCCGGAGGATTGAAATATAGGCTGAGTATAAACTTCAAGAGGTAATATAGTGTCAGAGATCCTAGGACTTGTTATTGAGGGTTAATGAGTTCTCGACAAGATCTTTTAAATTTTCTGTTTTTATTTTATGGATATCCAAAAAAGTTAAAGGCATATTTTGAAT